TGCTGGGCACGGAACAGAAGCCTGGACCCTGGCTGTGTGAGCCAGGTAATGGAGCACGGAAGCATGGCTGTGTGGGCCGGTACTGGTGCACGGATCCATGGCTGTGTGGGCCGGTACTGGACCACGAGCCGGCCTCCCGACCTTGCGTTTCTCCGAGGCCCCCTGGAGGCTCCGTGGACCTCCAAACGCCAGGCGGGATCCCAAAAAAGGGCCAGAGAATGGAGCTGGAACCACTGGAGCACGGGCTGGAATCTTGGTCTTGCGTCTCCTAGAGATTCTTTGGAGGATCTGTGGGCCTCGCCAGGCCTGGTCATACCCCAGGAAAGGGTTAGAGGCTTCGGACAAGTCCTCAGGACTACTTGTGAAAAGTTGTAGCCACTCAGGCAACATGCTCCTAAGCCAGGGCTGGCGAGCAACCTCCTGACGTGCCTCCTTCAACGCAGCCTCTCTACCACGTCTAGAAGAGGCGCCATTCCAGGTATAAAAAATGTACTCCAGAGAGTACCCAAGACATTCTGCCTGTAGAGCAAAATGATCCGAGTCTGCTGAGTCCAAAGCTGGTCGGTTCATTCTGTTAGGATGGCGTGGAAGGGTAGGACCCAAATGCAGACTATCAAAAAGGTAACAGGTCTCGTAACAAAAAGCGAGCTTTATTTTAAAAGCTGATCAAAAACAAGGCATGAAACAAATGGGTTGTACAAAAAACTGACCGTGACCAACATGGAGGGAGACAGGAGAGACAACCGTGACTGACATGGAGGAAGACAGGAAAAACCAACAATGAACCGACAGGGGAACACAGGAAGAGACAAGACTAAATACAGGGAGGGGTAATCACAAGACAAGACACAGCTGGGGTAAGAGAGGCAGAAACACAAGGGCAACAGGTGAACACAATCAGACAATCAGACACACCAGGGGAACTAATGACAGGAAGGCAAACACAGGAAGAAGGAACAGAGAAGACACAAGGAGGAAAACATTTCAAAACAAAAGTTGGAAAATGAAAACATAAATACAAAACCGTAACAGTGAATTTACTCCAGGTGGAACTAAAGTCTGATTTAAGACTTGATTATATTTCACATCATTAATCTAAATCTGAAAAGTAACTAAAGGTATTAAATAAATGTAGTGGAGTAAAAGTACACCATTTACCTCTGAACTGTAGTGGAGTAGAAGTACAAAGTAGCAAATATTTGAAATACTCAAGTAAAGTGAAACCTGGTTATCAATGAATGACTTCAGCACAAGCTTTAGCTATTTGCATGTTGGTTTTTTTGTGGAATATTATCGCGTGCGAATTAAGACGCTAAATTGTCAAAATCATGCGCTGTGTGTTCTGAAGGGTTGCCTAACCCGGATAGTACACTTTCCTTTCAAATACAATAGGCTACTAGTTATCACTGAGCAATAAACTAAAGACAAATATAGCGACTTTTTGTAAAGAAAGCGGAAAGTGGCAGATAGGACAGAGCTTGATAAAGCATTTAATCGACAGGAGCGTCTAATTTACCGTTATGCTGTGAGCTCCCAGCGAGAGTTGTGCAGGGCTCCGCGGGAGGTGAATAAGCGCGACTTTGCTCACCTCACAGGCGTCCGTTACACAACCACTGCTGTCTCACAGTTCCTCGGTGTCCCGCCCTCTCTGTCTGTCACAGTATGGCCCAATCCCAAACCACGCCCTACACCCTACCCCTACACACTCCCCCTCCGTGACGGAGTGAACTCCGTGGAGTGACACTCGCAGCTCAATGAGGCTCCCTCCTGTCAGATGGAGGGAGTAAATACAGCGGCAAGCTTTGGGACAAACTCCCCTCTCTCCGGCAGAAACAGGAAATGCCGTAACTGTATGTAACAACGGTTTCAAATCAGCATCTCTTAGACAAAAAATTAAAATTAATAACTAAAATAAAACTCCAAACATAACAGAAAAAACACACGACCACATCACACTGAGTTTGGCCTGGAGAACTGACCGTTTATTTGTATCTGCGCATGCTCATTAGCATCACCACGTTTCTTTCACACTCAGGCACGCTCTGATGATGTCATACAACATGACTTTGTTCTTACCCCTAGATTCCACCGGGTCCGAACCGATCCAGTGAGAGCTGAAGGTCGCAGACCGATGAAGCCATTAGAACCACATCATCTGCAAAAAGCAGTGGTGCAATCCTTAGTCCACCGAACTGCAGACCCCCTCCCCCACGACTATGCCTCGAAATCCTATCCATGTATATTACAAACAGGATTGGTGACAAAGCGCAGCCCTGGCGGAGGCCAACCCTCACCTGAAATGGTCTTGCTGGTGATACAGCTTCACCAGCAAGACTGCTGGTAGACCAGCATAAATACCAGCTTCACCAGCATAGACCAGCATCGAATTCATGCTGGTTTCTTCAGCAGGGTAGCCATATGAGGCCGGAGGGCTTTCCTTTGCTTTCAGCTGTCAGATTGTAAACAATCTGTCACGTGACTGGGGGCAGATGACATCGCGGACAAGGTGTGTTTCCCGCAGCAACACGCTACAATACTAATTGTGGGCTTATCATGTTTATTCGGCCACAACAGAAAAAGAAAAAAAAAAGTCTCGCTCTCTCCAGAGGGGCAGGTCAGCCAAAAAGCGCTTACTGTGCACGTCCCTGGCTGTAAATATAAAAAGGGAAATTACGTTATATAGAAAATGACAGAAATAAAAATCTTAAGTGCTTTGACAAAAAAAACATAAAACAAATTCCTCTGTGGAAGCCGTAGTACTGTAAAAAGCACGACCAATCATTTTAGCCGGCCCGGCTAAAATAACTGGATGGCCTACCTGCCTGTCAGCCTTCCATCTGTGCACAAACTTATCTCGTGCCCTCATTGGTCATGTGCGCGTTCGTGTGTGTAGGAGGAGGGGCACTGTAAGGAAGTGGCAGATTTTTTCCGGCTAGTATTTTCAAATTCTAGCTCACTCGAGCTGGTTTCTCCAAAATTACCTACCCCACCTTTAACAAAAGTTTTTATGGATAAAAAAGCAAGAGATGTAAAAAAGCGTTCCCCCACTAGCATTATTGTTTGGGTCTGTGACCGGGGATAAAGCTTGTGGACATTTTTTAAAGGATGCCGCCTAAAGCTACTGTTTTACCTGAACACACACATGCACATGTGCAATATGTGGTGTAATGTGTTTTGGGGTCATACAATAAAATTACAACAGGATTGTATGGTTATGAATGCATTATAAGTTAGTTATGATGTAGTTAAAACAATATTGGATGATAGTCATTATTTTGGAGTGTTTTAGACTGAAATAAATCATGGGTTAAAATTGACCCGCGAACACCATGAACGGTACAAGCTTTCGAACACAACACAAGGGTTAACACAGCTCAACTCGACACGGCTTCTCCAGACACGGTCAAAAACTGTTTGCTACCGTCCCACACACCTGAATCTGATCACCCAGTGTAGTGGCGGCCGGCCCATAGGGGCGCTAGGGGCGCCGCCCCCCCCTCTTCCCACATTAAAAATAAAAAACATAAAAAAAATATATATTAAAAAAATATATTTTTAATTTTAATTTTTAATAAACAAGGTAAATATTATATAATTGGTATCAGTCAAATGTATAATCTACAATAAAATCTCGTTTAAATCGTTACGATGTCTAAAGTTACTGATAAGTCACATGTTTCCTGCCTGGCCTTGCCTGTGTATCATTACCCTCTCTGTGCAGCAAGTGCAGCAAAAGCCAACTGTTGCTATTTTTAAACTATGCCGCCGAAACATAATTTCAGCCAATCAGCGTCGTCAAATCTGATGGTCACAGGGCGCCTACGTCAGCGCCCGGTGCAGTCTGTGAGTTGTTTGGACTCGTATCCAAGGAGACAAAACAGGAAGCTGTCATACACTCTGGAAGCTACCGTGTTGTTCTGCAGTTTGTGTGGGCCTACTGTACTGTTGCACAGTTTATGCTGTAGAAACTATGTCCAGGACAAGGTGTTTGGAAGTTTTGGAAGATTCATAGCTAACCACACTGAAGATTATGGAGGTATTGATCAGTCTTCTCATATTTTTAAGCCTCAATTTGTCCTTCCCCCCCCTCTAACATCACCAGAAGTCATAATTTAGGGGGTCTTTTCTCAATTTTTTTTACCGGGGGAGCATCCCCCCGGACCCCCCTAGTATTGTTTGGTCACCATTTCCACAGCCCCACCTAAAATATTTTCCACCAGCCGCCACTTCCCAGTGATTACATTCACTCACAAGCGAATGCTCCATCTTGTGTTCAATGGCAGAACTGCATGTTACATTAAACTTAATAAAATAAGTAAAATAAAATAAAATAAAAGACACATACATTAGATGCAAAATGATGTTCAATCTGTGATATGGACACTGTTTAGTGTACGTATATATTAAGCAGAACAGAGTTGAATGAACTGTTCATAAATTAAGTCAAACTAGAAGCTTTTACAGGTGTTTAATTTAAATATTCTGTCTCACAAAAAACATTGGTAAAATCTCAAATGTTTTAAGTCAATGCAACATTATTTAAAACTTATTTGCAATTATGAAAAACTGAAACATCCCACTTCTCCATGACAACTGAACAAACCATAAGATTGTTATACGATGTTGAAATCTCCAGAAAAAGAAAGTTAATGAACCGTAGAGTTTCAGATCTAAGAGAGCATGTTGACAGAAATACAAAGTGTACTCACTGAGGACGAAGAAGATCAAACTGTGTCCATGTTTGAGTCTCTGATGGTTGAACGCTGTCTCTCTTTCTTCTTCACCGGCAAACCAACACGTTTTCACTTCTCTAAACGATGGAGCCCCTGCTTAAAAGAAAACACTAACACCTGCATGTGTATCACGTATCTTTCACTTGAAAACTTTGTAACTTAATGCAGAAAACAATATATTTTGCTTTTAACATTTACATTATTCAATGTTAAGTCTGAGGAAAAGTGTACTTTGTATTAAGCCAAAAAAACATATTATTGTCAAACACATTTCAGAAATGTTTTATTTTTATCCCGAGGAAATTATCCAGAGTATAAAAAAGCAGGAAGAGGTCGAATATAAAATACAATATAAAAAATAAAACTCCATAAAAATGGTACAAGTCCAAATATATATGTACAGTATAAAACAATAGAAACAAGTCATAAGGATTATACATATGTGCGAGTGGCATCTTGCATCCCGTACTGACCACATCACCTGGTTGAAGTAAAATAGTTTAATATCTATTTATTTATATTCCGCTATAATTAAACATTTCTGTAAATCAAGTCTTTAACCAAAATAGTCAACCGTATTTGGAAGCAAAAATACCTAATGCTAATCTGCTAACTTTACTAGAACAGTTTATCTTACACAAATAACTTTAATACCATATATTATAACTTGGAATAAAATCAACCTAATAAATACATTGAAGGCATAAAATAGCTTTTTACATTAAATTACATATAATAAAGATAACTTTTATCCAAATGGACGTACAATAAGTGCAACCAGCTTTGACCTGAAGCAAACTGTTGAAGCGGCACGTTTGTGAACTAGAGCAGAGCTGGACTTATCATCACATGAGCAGGTCATTCAAAGCAGGTTTGAAATAAGTAAATGGTTAAATAATCGTACATATTCCCACAAACATCTCTCTGTTTCAGAATATTTACACGGCTGCTTAATTCACACCAGCTTCTTCTGCCAGACTGTGAGAGTTATTGGGGGTCGTTAACAGTAGAGTACAGAGGGGGCTCATCAGAGCTAGCTTCCACCCGAGGAACAGAGTAGATAACACACTCAGCGTCACCGTGGAAACCGCTGTGGGACGAGCCGACACTGACAAATTTGATTTCAGAGTAGGCGGGTTGACTCGGGTCGTCTTCAGCCTGGAGTAAAAAACATTGCTGGATTAAATGTGTCTTTAACAACAGAACAAAACAAGCAACTGGACTTTGTTGTGAATTAACGTCATCAAACACTTAAAAAAGTTCTGTTTGTTTAGGTCTTTTATTCATATATACACATATTATATTATTGCAGACATTGTCCGAAATTAATCAAAGCCAGCATCTCAGTAAATATGAATAGGAAGAAGCAACGGGTACAACAAATATAGCTCTACCGAGCTAATGTGTTGTTATCCCAAAGTTAGAATTGTATAACTTTTATGGTGTATTTTGTAAATTAGCTGCAGCGAAATTGTTGTAGCAATCATTGGTTTTGGCTCAATTTGGTTGTGTTTATTTGGCGTAAGTGTAAATTGAAGAGATTTCCCCAGGAGATCTCACATAGACCCTTGTACACTTAGTGGGTCTACAGAAAAGTGTATTAATATGATGCTCAGATTTTCTCAAACTCACCTCTGGTGCAGAAGCACATTGTGTTTCCTCATGAGGTTCTGAAAAACACAACAGTACTTTGAGAAAAAGACTCAGAACAGATTTTCAAACATGACATCACACATTCCCCATTTGAACCAATATTTAGGCCAACCATTCAAATCAGAGTAAAACAAGATAAATAGATGTGTTTTGAGTTTGTAAACAACAGAATATACAGTATATTTAATAATTAACCACCCTGCCAAATTTCAGTTACGAAAGAAACTTTATTAAAGTTTCAATGAAAAAAATTAACAACCAATGACTGTACATGTTTCTAAAATGCAGTGGACCTATCATGCTATATTTAAATGATATATTGTAGGGCCATACCTATATAAGGTATATTTATACGTTTCTGTTTTCAAAATACCAAACAGATCATGCATTTTAGCCATGCCTCATTTCGCTCTATTTGCTGTTCTCCAGCCCTGTTTTTGCAGGGGTCTGATTCTGTGAGCTGCAGCTGACCACGCCCCCCTGCAGGAGAGGGGAGCCGGAGCGTGCTCTGATCAAGTCAGAAGAGGGCGAGAAAAATAGATCTCCGTCCTCCGTGTTTTATTATAGCCTATTATTATATAGAGTCGTTATTCATTTGTTTTAAAGCTCAATAAATAACAAAGAAGACCTTTGACTGGCACTTTTCTAATTTTGTCCGGAAGATTTAAACTTTAACGGACATCTTGACCGGCGAAAGAAAACCTAACTGAAACTCTGCCGCACGGTCCCCTCGTTCCTTGGAAGAGGCGGAGAGGTGGGTGTTTGTCATCTGCTGGCGGACTAACCGGAGAGAATTACAGTGCTTGCCTCGACGGGGAGGGATTACATTGAATTAAAGCAGCAGGAGCAAACGCTTGCCTCGGGGAGGGAGAAAAAAAGCCACAGCGGAGAATAAACAGAAGGGTAACCATGGTAACCATGGGCGGGAAGTCTTCTTCGCTGCTTTTGTGGCAGACTACAGCGCCACTTGCAGGCCTGGCATATGTACTACAGCGTCTCCAGCGCTTTCGAGCGGCAATGGCCGGCCGTGGCCCAACCCCACATTCCCCTGATAGGTGGAAAGTTGGCCCAATAGCCGTAGCGCCACCGTCCTGACGTCAGGACAGTGTTCAAATCTGGATCAGTTTTTATCAGATCCGTTGCAGCCCCTTTTTTAGAGATTTGGGTATGGAGGAAAATAGAGAGGGTTGTGTTTTCTGACACTTGGTGAGTTCCCTGGAACACCGGGGACACATATTCATGTATAAAAGACGTACAAAAGTGCATTTTGTATGATAGGTCCCCTTTAAAAAAAGCCTCTGATCTGACTTCACTGAGTCTCCAAAATAGAGGAAGCTATACTCTTAGCTCTCTCTATTTTTATGTGTTTGTGAAAAGCTTATTTTTGTAAATGGCATAAGTTTTGTAGATAGACTGATTTGCAGTCAGGTGTGATATAGATTTAAATGTATGTTGTTGTTTTTTAAATCGTATTATTGTGTAGTTGCATACAGTAGATAGTACTAGACTGTTTGATGTTAGTGATGTTGCAACTTACAAAGCATAAATCTAGCACCTGTTTCTTCTGCAACAACTGAAGGATTGTCACTCTACAAGAACCAGTGATAACAAAACCTTTAGACTGAGCAGCAGTTGGGTTATTCTTAATGCTGTAAATGAATATCCGTACAACCAATCTGGTGATGGGGGATGGACATTGTGTGTGAGAAACTTATTTTAGAATTGTGCGTCTGCTTTTAAAGTTAATAGGTCAAGAGAAAACAGACACATTTTCAGTGAGACATGTTTTGTGTGTGTGTGTGTGTGTGTGTGTGTGTGTGTGTGTGTGTGTGTGTGTGTGCGTGCGTGCGTGCGTGCGTGCGTGCGTGTGTGTGTGTGTGTGTGTGTGTGTGTGTGTGTGTGTGTGTGTGTGTGTGTGTGTGTGTGTGTGTGTGTTCCTCACCTTTGGCTTTACAAATCCTCTTCCTGCAGAATACCAGCACAGACAGTGATGACACGATGACCAGGACGACCAGAGTCAGAAACAAATACAGGATCACAGCTGTTTGAGCACAAGAACAAGTTACAGTTAATGGTAAACTATGACATCTAACCATTTTGTTTTTCAAGGGGGGGACAGGTTATCTTTAGGGGAAGATAACAGATCAACAGTATTTGAATTTGCCATATACTGTGAAAATAGAGTCAATCTTTTGAACGCTGAGAACCTGATTTCAAGGTGCAGCATTTTAAAATCTGCTTTGAAATGTGTTTTGAAAGATACTAATTGAAATGTACAGGCTGTGAGTCTAGAAAAGGCAAAGAACGATATGATGGAAGAATGTGATGGCCATTCCAATGCTTTATTATGCTTCATAAGTTGTTGAAACGTTATCTAGTAAACACAGGGTGTGGATGTACCTTTAGTTGTTTCAGGCTGCTTGGTGGTTTTAGGGGTGGCTGGTGAAGTTGTGGAACTTTCCCTTTTGTTTGTTGTTGTTGAGGATGCTGATGAGACTGATGATGAAGGTGTAGAAGTGGTCAGAGCTGTGAACAAAAACAAGCAGACACAAAGAAGTCCTGATGAGAGAAATTAGATCCTCCTGTGTGTCTGTGAGTGTCGGCTGAACTCTTTTAAATTGAGAGTTGAAAACATCAGCAGCTGTCAGTGAAAACTGTCTTCAGAGACATGAACAAACATTTTCATTATCAAGCAGAAACTCACCATCAGTGACGATGAGCATAAACCTCTGGTATTGATTCCGAGAGGAAGTTATGCCCAGACCACACCTGTACCCTCCTGAGTCAGACTGGGTCAGCTGTTTGATGCTCACATACAGAAAATATCCTGTTGAAAATCCTTGAGTAGATCTCATGCTGTATCTGCCATTTTTCTGATCTGCATTACTAGTCGTTTCCACAAGATTGTCTCCTTCTTCACATTCTTCCTTGCAGAAGTACTTCTTGTTTCCATATTCAGTAAAGGAGCATTGAACTACAATATTCCCTCCAGTTCTAGCATTGATTGTTTTTTCTGCAGAAGGATCACCAACAAGTTTTGCTGTTGAAAAAAACAAACAATCAAAAGTTACTATGTGTAGTTTACAAATGGTAATTCAATATTTTTGACTATGTATATTTCAAAACTTGATCCAGTCACTGAGGCTAAAGGTGTGACTATTTAATGAAACAGCCTTTTAATTAAATATTTTCCTCTGAGATTTAGCAAATCATTATCTTTCGCTGTGCTCAGAATTGGATTTGATATAATTAGATTTTGGATTTATATTAGATTTGAATGCTTTAATAAAATCGTTGGCTTTGTATTTTGTTTTATTATAAATAGTATCTGATTGAGGTTAACTGATAATTAAATATGTTTAAACTTTAAAGATCATCTGTTGCAAAGAATGACATTTATTTTGAAAGGATTTCTTTACCCCTTGAAATTATCATTTTATATTATGACATACCCTGAGTTACCTTGAATTCATATGCTCATAACTTCCCTAAAACCTTACTTATCTAAACACTTCTGCATTAACTGTTCTTGAGAAAAGAGAAGCTTGTCTCTTTATGCAGAAGTGTTTTAAACGGTGAGGTTTAAGCAGAATGCATGTTTTAGGGAAGTAGTGCGCACACAATAAATGACATTTGGACTATACAGCATTAGTTGTGTTAGAGTTAGTTAACGGATGTTTTAATATATTTCTGCTGTTGTAAAACACGGCCCCGAATTAATTTAACATTCATTAAGACTTTTCTCCATTTTGGGATTCTTTGTTCACCGTGGAGTCACGCTAGAAAAAGTTATCAAATTCAAGATGATCTGAAAATTGTAATTTGGGGGTAAAGTATTCCTTTAAAGCCCGACCGCAGCCACAAACCACCAGTTCAGTTGTTAATATTTATTTTCTATTGATCTCAATCTATTACTAATTGTCTTACTTTTTAACAGAACAGAGAGCGGCCATATGATCTACTACATTCAGCAAAGAGCACACACAACAGATCAATATGCTCGTGCCCCCGGTATTACATTCTTCATCAATAATATTCTAAACAATAATATTAAAAAACACTTGTGTACGTGTGTCAGTTTCGGTTTATGAGTTACTTTCAGAAGACATGTAGGATTTAGATAAGTTAAAGGTGAAAAGGTAAAACTATTATTTAGACAAGGAAGAAGATTCAGTTTTTAGTAGAAACTCACCATCAATAACGATGATTTCAATATTCTCGTATGAAGGCGATGACAAATATGGTCCCGCACCACACCAGTACTCTCCTGAGTCAGACTTGGTCAGCTGAGTGATGGTCACAAAATAATGTCTATCTTCATAATCAATGCTGTATCTGCCACTCTGAGCTGGGGCACCGGTTGTTTCAATGAGAATGTCTTCTTGTTCACATGGTTCCTTACAGAAGAGCATCCTGATTCCATACCAAGTAAAGGAGCATTTAACTCTGAAATATTCTCCTTCAATTCCTGAATAGACAGAGAGTTGGGCACTGACGAGACCAGTGCTTCCATCCTGCAGAGCTGAACAAAAGATGAACCATCATTAGTATTGGTCAGTACTTCCTGTAAGATGCTGCAGTCTGATCACAACACTTCCTGTTTCACATGAACACAGATCCTCAGAGTTAAACCTGTGACTGAAGATCACCATCAGCACTGCAGGTTAATGTTACCGTTTGGTCTGAGATCTTTATCCTTCTTTAGACACAAAGACTACATGAAGTCTCCATCTGTAACTTTAAGCTTTACATTAACGCAAATCCTAATAGTACATCATCTTTTATTTTTTATGTCCACACCACTTCACCAAAAAATTAGATAGATAGATATATATATAAACAAATATAATAAGTCAAAATTAACATTAGCGGCATGTAAATAAAAAATCAAAAGATTAATAAATGAATCAAGAAAATTATTTGCAGATTAAATGATTATGAAAACAGTAAAATCAAGCATGTACATTATTTTACAAAATAATCAGTCTTTATGACTTAGTTTTACTCGTTCAGTAAGACGATGATAACTGAGTTTAATGATGATGTACAGTTTTTTGAGGAAGTGAAACACACATTTGAAGCTACTAATAAGCCAAACTTTGGAAGATTTTAATAACTTGTTGAAGACTTGCATTAATTCAATAAAAAGGAAAATGCTTAAATTACTGAGATGAAAATAAAGTGATGTACTCACAGAAGAGGAAGAAGAAGCAGATCAAAGTGTGAGAGACTTTCATGCTGAGACTCTGATGGTTTATCACTGACTCTCTTTCTTCACTGGCTAACCAGGAACTTGTTACTTCTTTAAATGATGAAGTCCCTCCTCCAAACACAACACAGCTCTACTCTCCTCCCCAACGCAGAAACACTATGGTCTAAAAATACTCCATTGAAAGTACTGAATTCAAAATGTTACTTGGGTAAAAGCACAAAAGTATCAAGTATAAAAAATGTATAAAAGAATCACTATGCATAAAAGCACATTTCAAAGTGTTATCATAGAATATTTGGTTTAATGATCATTTCATTTTATTGTTGTAGTTTATATAGAGCCAATTTTAGATACTTTGAATGCTGCTGGTTATATACTCGTAACATATCTTACTGCATCAGATCATCATCATGTTTTGTAGATCAACACGTATGTAGCCTCAGTGTCAAATCTTCACTTCACCTGTTAAATATAGTCAATCAAAAAGTAAAATATTTTCTTGTAAATCAAGTTGATTAGAAATATAAAATGTATTAGTATTACATTTGAATACACAAGTAGAGTATAAGTAAGGTATGTCATCATTGCACTTAGGTAATTCAGTTCAAATGTGACCTCTGCCTGGTGTCTTCTCCGTCTCTGTTAATGTGCTGTTTACATTAAAGTGCAGTTTGTTCTGTGAACGCTAGGTGTCGCTCTCACAACATTGTAGATTGCTTGTGTGCTTCAAAGACTCATGTCATTTACTGACACTACACATGGTGGCAGCAAAGATAAGTTAATGTTTGCAGTGAATGGAGGAGAATTCCCTGTTTCTCTGGCCTCTTTAATGTCAATTTCCACCATACTTTTGCACAGCTCAACATCTGTCGTTTACTTTGATCCATACTGAAATACAAACTACTCGATACGTCATATTTCTAGGCTTCACACCTTTTTATTGGTATATTTGTTGGTTTTCATAGCGCCTAATGTGATTTGCCTACATGGGCCTCTCTGTAGACAAAGCACCTTTCTATATCCCCACTCTGTATCTTACTTCATAAAAAATAATCATAATAAACAGAAAAAAAATAAAAATAAGGCAACATTTTAAAACCAAACTGAACATTTATTAAGCAATTTTTTATTGATGATATTAGATACTTTTATAATACTACAGACATACAATGGACAGTGGTAGACAGACATTTTCAGACTATACATAAGCTCTTTAGTAGTATGTGGTTATCTTCCTCTTATAATTGTAATGCTGGATAATCATGGGTTCTAGTAACTATCCATGTATGAATCCTTGGTCTGACACCATTTTGGGATTGGCAGATACAACCTGTTTTTGTGTTTATTGTGTAACATGAAAAGACAACCAAGGTATTGCTTGTTTAATATTCAAGCAGGACAAAAATAATGTCTTCATTTGACATTTGAATGCAGTCTTGAAGTTCACCTGATGAACATTAAAGATAATTTAAGAACCTTCCAGTTTCAGAGGAAGTTGGATTTGTCATGATCAGTTTGTGGTCTCCAGCAGAACTGAAGCAACATATTTTTTACAAATAACTCAGACTGCTATTTTTTCTTAGCTTCGTGGCTATTGACATTGAAAAGTTGGCCTGTTGACTGCATCTCTTATTTTAGCTAAGAAGCTTTATGAGTCACAGACAACTTGGCGACAGTACGGCACATTGTAAGCAGAGGTGTTGCATTTTGAAATACTCCTGCATTCAAAATTGTACTCAAGTAAAAGTACAAAAGTATTGGCAACAAAATATACTTAAAGTACAGACAGTATAACTACACATTTTCCAGTATGGCTCATATCAGCTCTAATAATATTAAAAATTAAATAATATACACTTGGTAAAGGTAGGGTATTACTTGATATACTGCTAGGTAGCTTAAAGTATAATAACACATATTGATTTATTAGTAGATTTATATTCTGTATTATAAATCCATAACTGCAAAGTAGCTAGTTTGTCAAATGAATGTAGGTGGTAGGTGAAAAAGCAAAACATTGCCTCGAAAATGTAGTAAAGTGAAGTACAAGTATACTTCACAATTGTACTAGAGTATTGTACTTGAGTAAATGTACTTAACATTCATCCACTGCATTGTAGTAACTATATTTTTGTTTCCGATTAAATAAAAGGTTGTGTTAATAAAACAATCTGATGTTATTTTTAATGCCACATATTAATGAATGTTGTTTGGTTGTTCTATGTCAGTATGAATGTTTACAGTAACGTGTGTGTGTGTGTGTGTGTGTGTGTGTGTGTGTGTGTGTGTGTGTGTGTGTGTGTGTGTGTGTGTGTGTGTGTGTGTGTGTGTGTAAAATAAGTATTTCTATTGAAGGCATGAGGGGAAAAAAACTCAGATCCATTATTTGAGATGAACACACGCACGCATGCACGCACGCACGCACACGCACGCACGCATGCACGCACGCACACACACACACACACACACACACACACACACACACACACACACACACACACACATACACACACACACGCACACACACAGAGTATATCATGGAAGAAGCTTCTGCTGGCCTGTCTGCACACAGTTAATAAGGCTGTGTGATGGATGAATGGAGACACGCAGCTCTCATCTCTCTGTAAACCGTTCATTGTCTCACTGTCTCACAGCCTCCATGTTGTTTCTCTCTGTCTTTTTGTCCTTATTTTATTGACTGACTTCTTTATTATTTCACATTAACCCCCATCTCCCTCCTCTATATTTTATTAATTTCTTAATGCTTCATTTTCAAGTTCATATTAGTATTGTGTGCCTCTACTGTGACATGTCTCCATGCTTTAATGTTCAAAAAGCTCTTTATTTTTCTCATACTGCCTGTGCTGCAGCACCTCTTTTCACCCTCTGTCTGAAACCAGAGCCCAGTCTGCTCTGATTTGTTAGCTGGCCGGCTCTGTTGCTAGCCAATAGAAGTGCTAGTGTTACATAGTGATGTCACTTTGTTACGGAAGTAAACAAAGGAAGAACGACCAGGGAAAACATTTTTTATTTCACTTTAATTTAATTAACTCTCCTCTATTTGCACTTTCACTACTAAAACTTTCTGCACATGGCTTTTTACACGACACCACTTTAGATTCAAGAATTATGTCCAATAACCCACAATGATTAATACTTAATTCATGCATTTCATTATTCAATATTAATGTCTTATTATACACAGGTCCAACACAATGAAGCCCCGACCACACTGTGAACCGTTCTGCTGCAGGGGAAAAACCCATAAGCAACTAAATATAGTCGTCGATATATATGAACAATATAATGTGTATTAAGGTAAAAAACAACAACAATAAAAGAACAAATGTTAGGCGTCTTCGTTTCCCCTCAGGAGTTTTTAAAAGGCATTCTGGGAAAGTGATATTACAAAATGATGCACCAGTTGAATGAAGGCAAAAGAGAAGTCCCCCCTGTCTTCTAAAAAGTATATGTTCCTATACAACGAAACTGCACTCTCTGTAAAAAAAGGAAAAAGAAAAAAAAGAAATCAGTACAAAACTTCAGACAACAAAACTACTTCTCAGGTTTGGTAAAAAAAAAATCATGTTTTGGCTTAAAATGTCAACTGTATGTTTGTTTTATTTATAAAATGTAAATGTAGAAGAAGTCATTGTTGAGTTTTGGTTACAGTCTTGTGTTTAGTTGAATGGAAACTTAATTTTTAGGAGACCGGGATCCTTTAATGCACATAATGGTTGAATACTGAATGTTGATCAATAGTAGAATCTCCCTCAGTGTGCATAAATAAAAGTATTTTATTATTATTTTATGACTATTGTGTCAATATTTTTCTGCACCGTATATTTCTGTACATTTAGAGATTAAGATGCTTCGATTCTGAGACGTGAAGCTCCGAAGATCTGCAAAAGAAATCTCACCTGACTTTCTCTGACTCTTCAGATATGTTTCTTTTTATATCGAAACTATAATAATATGAAAAGTTCAAAAAGTTATTCTCTTAAAGGTTGTCGTCCCATCTCCACACTGTGTTCAGCATCTCAGTGTCCGTACTCCATACGCTGGGAAACCTTTTATCATAATGCAGAATTACATTTTATCCAGAGAAGATGAGCAAGTGGGCATTTCCTTACCTTGCTTTAAGTTTCCTCGGACAGAAAAATTCCTATTGTTGCCTCACAATATAATGTAAGATAACGGTAAGCTATAACCAGCAACAGATGTTCAGCTGAGCTTCTGATGAATCAGAAACAACCTCCATTGTTTTAAACAATTTTCCTCCAATCTTCCCAATTTCCCCATTTTGTATATGTTTATGACCAAGATTCAAAAAGTCCAAAGTTCGCACAATGTCCCACAGACGCATATTTATCTCAGTTTGCACCAAATAGTGTCTCTTAATGTCCATTTCAGTCTTTTCATTTGAGTTTGTATGCAATTGTAGTGGATGTACCTTCCAGATCCAGACTCTAAGGCTTTTCCTGTAAGTACCTGTTAATCCTGATTTCTGTGATAGTTTTGCCACTTATTCTATGTAACGTAAACTGTCCTTTTTTTTGGGTGACATTTTAGGCATCTCCTGCTGCACTTGTCCTTTTACTCCATCCATTTAACTTGTATCTTCCCTTTTATTCTCCCGTTTGTAATTCCACTTGTATTCAGTGTCAAAGACAGTTCATGGAACAGTTTTTAGCAGATCTTTCCCGTACACCAACATGTACAACGTTTTAAATCTCCTCTTTAAATCCAACCATGTCAAGTCTTCTTTCTATCTTCCAGCTCATATACAGTTCAAGCTTCAATATCATATTTCCCAGTTTGTATCATCAGTATATTCCTTCTTTATTCCTCCTCTCTGTCCTCCGGTCACACCGTGGTCACGGAGAGAAGAGGGTTGTATATTTTCTTCCCGTCCGGAGACCTGGAGCCGTGAGCCAGCAGCTCCTGGATGGTGATCCAGTTGTCGAGGATTCGCCGGTTCCTCTTCTTGGTGATCTTCTTCTGGCTCAGTAACAGGATGTTGTTGCAGGGGGAGTCCTGACGGGCGTGCAGCGGCGAGGAATGGAGTTCTGTCGATGAGGCGTCCCTGGATAACAAAAAAAA